GCCCCATGCATCCCCTTTCTGCCCCCCACAGCGCCCCTCTCTGCACCCCACCTCCCCATGCCCCCCTTTCTGCCCCCCACAGCTCCCCTTCTGCACCCCACCTGCCCCATGCACCCCCTTTCTGCCCCCCACAGTGCCCCTCTCTGCACTCCACCTCCCCATGCACCCCCCTTCTGCACCCCACCTGCCCCATGCACCACCCTTCTGCACCCCCACTCTCCTTGTGCAGCCTGTCCTCCTGCACCCCCATGCCTCACCCTGCACCCCCTTTTACATCCCTAAGCGCATGGCCCACCTCCACACTCCTTCCCCGCCCTTAAATGCACCATGAACCCCCCGTTCCTACCCCCACCCTAGCCCCCAACTCCTTGCCCATGCGCCCCCATTCCCTCAACCCCTGCCCCCCCATACACCCTCTTTACCTCTTTGCTCCACCCGCTCCACCAGCAGAACCATCTCGACCCCCCGGTGCCCCAGCGCCCCCTGCCGGCCGGAATCTCCTGCCGCAGCCCCGGGGGGCCTCTGGGGGGCACCGTCACCTGGGGTCCGCTGGCTCAGCGTTGCCGTGGGGTGGGCCAGGCTGCTGGGGGGGCAGGGAGGGGCTGGGGGGAGCAGAGCGCGGACCCGTGGGGCTACGGGAGGTGGGGGCAGAGGGGGACTCGGGGGGACCATCCGGTGTCAGGAGAGGGGGGAGGGCTGGGAGGGGAGGGGGGGGCCCTGTCAGCCAGGGGGGAGGGGTGGGGCCAAGGGGCAGAGGGGGACGGGGGCTGGGGGGCACCGGCAGCGAGACAAGCCCCGAGGGCCAGCAGGGCAGCCGGCAACAGCATCACCCGGCGCTGGGTGTCTCTGGGAACCAGCACCTGCGAGGGGTGAGAAGGGGTTAAATTGGGGTGTCGGCCCCCCGCCTCCCACTGCTGAGCGCCCGCTGCTGACCCCCCGCCCCACTCCCCACTGCTCAGCGCCCCCCGCTGGCCCCCCGCCCCGCTCCCCACTGCTCAGCGCCCCCTGTTGGCCCCCCATCCCGCTTCCCAGAGCTCAGCGCCCCTGCTGCCCCCCGCTGGGTCTGGGAGCGGTGGGGCAGCAGGGGCTCTGAGCAGTGGGAGCGGGGGGGCAGCAGGGGGCTCTGAGCAGTGGGGAGCGGGGGGGCAGCAGGGGGCGCTGAGCAGTGGGGAGCGGGGGGGCAGCAGGGGGCGCTGAGCAGTGGGGAG